GAAACGGGTTCCAAAATTACCTGTATTTACATCATGTATTGCCAAATGGAGAGAACAATGACAGATAATACCAATATCTCTCCTAGATATGACGTGATATCAAGGAATGTTTATGTAATAAGATAGATATATAGTTTTATTAGATTGTTGACACATGTCTCGGTGGATATGACTAATAAATTAGTTATTGAGCTCAAGATGTGAATTATGGAACAAAAAATATAACAAGAAATAGCTTAAAATAAATATGATATTACTTATAATACGTATTAATTCGACAGAACAAACAGCAGCTGACCCAGTTTTATTAACAAGGTCAGTAATCTTTCTGTACTTTATACAATAGGAGGTGTGGTCACAAATAACCTTTTTATGTGCATCTAAAACTTATAAAAACCATTTTTTTTTTCAAATGTTTTGTGACACTAATTAGTTTACTGAATATTCCGCCCAAATCACGAAGTCCAATGAACCTGTTGAAAATTGTTGATGCCCTGTAACACATCCAGCACTAAATTTTGCGTTTTTTTTTTCAGTTTTCAACTTCTTATTTACTACAAACATAATTTGGCTGGCGTTTATCGCTAGGGGAGGGGATCACCCTTCATTTGTTTGTTTTCTATGAATAATACTTTGGCTGGAATTTACCCTCGATATCTATAACTTCTATTTTTAGCAAACAATTTTATCGTATGGGACAAATTATATTATTTTTTGACTGATGATTTGATTCATATTTCATGAACTCTTTCCAATTACTTAGGTATCCTCGAGGTGCCCGATTTACATAGTTGATCATTTTGTATCGATAATTCAAGCTGCAGTTATCTGTTGTGAATATAGTTGTCTTGCCACAAACAACTGTTTTTCTAATCTTCTTTAATACTGGTAGACCGATTACTTTACTATGTCATTGTTTTCACATTGTTTAAGTTAGTAAATTGGTCGCATTCGTGTCAAACTGTTATCGCTATGCCGTTGTTCTTCGTTATATGTCTAGTTTATGTATTCCATACAACATGTATATGTAGAGACGCAATGGAAATTATTCTTCTCAAAAAGTAGGTGACTCAGAAACCACATTGTTTTTGTAATAATTTCGGTGAGTGTTTGGAAGACAGACCAGAGTGAATAGTCGGCTCTGAAAATCAGTAAATTTAATCTACGAACGCAGGAGCAGGTTGAGTATGTACACCTCAAGTATCAAAGCAATCGGGCTATTAGTTTTCAAAAAAAGGTCGAAAATATTATTTTTACAAAAATTACAAAACTATTTGCTAAAAAATATTGAATTAATGATATTGTTACGAAATGCATAAATCTGATAGTGGCCCACCCAAGGTATCTACATATTGTATATCAAGGTAATAGGACAGGTAGCTTGCAATTTCAAAATATTCAGTAAAAATAAAGAACTAACGATATCGTCAATAAGTGAACGAATACTTTTACTGAGTATTAAATTGACAAGACGAACAGCAGTTGACCCAGTTGTTTAACAAAGCTAGAAATCATACTCTAGTCTACACAATACCAGGTGTGGTCACATCAAACCGCTTTATTTTTTCCATATGGTTTGTGACAATAATTAGTACACCGAATACTCCACCCAATCAATTTGTTGTATTGTATACCCCGCAGTTTTGCAGTTAAAAATCTGTAGTTCTTCAATTTTAAAGTTCATATTCACAACGATTACTATGGGCGTCATTCACTGTCCGAGAGACGCCCTCCAACTTAATTGTTCGTTTTGAGACGATGCCTGAAATTCATTTTTTGCAAAGTATTTGTCATTTGGAACAAATAATAGTATATTTGCTTTTTGATTTTTTGACCCGGTTATCTGAGCGTAATTTGATTTCTCTAAGTTTAGTGATTATTTAGGTCATTTATGATTTCCCAATTGTCGTTAATCAAGACCAATCGCCACCATCGAGAATATTCTATTACATATCACAAACTACACGCTTTACCCATTGGAGTTCTCTGGGTTTTATCAATGTACGCATACACACGTTCTATATTTCTCTTTTAATTTGACATTGAACGAATATTGTTAAAATCATCTTGTTGCCATGACGCATTTAGCCAATCAATAGAAAACTTGACTAATAGTGACACCAAATATGAACCACGAATAATCGATAAAACGTATCACGTGATACCTTTATCCCTTTTTAACATTCAACAATCGCATAGTATACGCGCGGCGATATCTAATATTTATGTAAAAATAATACACGGAAAATATCATTAAATAAATATAACTCTCTAATTTCAAAGAAGAAAGGATATAATTACAGTAAAAAAATCAAACTAATATTAGTCAAACCCATATTTTCTCTGACACTTGAGACACTTCAGAAAACACACATGCAATGTTTCAAACTTAAACACTCGAATGTGCATCTTACATAAGTGTTCATATATAGGACATGTATACAAGTTTATAAGAGTTGCTAAACACTTTTCTTCCAAACTGTTTTATTCTCACACACCTTACCAATGTCGGCAGACATACTGTGCATACTGTAGCGACAAATTTATTGATTTTAGTAATCTCAATAATAAACTTTATATATTTATATATTTCGAAGTGTGCATACAATGTACCTGCCACAGGTATGATAACATGCACGGTGTTGTTTTCAATGCTCGGGTTAGTTAACTGGATGACGCAGCGCTAGTCAGGCGTTAATTCCTTGTGATCTAATCATTAGACTCATTTTCTTCATAGCTAATATTCTATTGGCGGAGCCTCAATGATGAGTTCCATCTAAAATTGTGTTTACCACACACCTGTGCATATTTGCGTATAATGTAAAGGAGCTTCTCTAAGTCCCTATTAAACATAATCATTTAACTGTTATTTAGAAATGTCATTAATACAATAAATACAATTACATGAAAACAAATATTGAGCAATAATTTAGTTTGCTACTTCTTTGCAAACATGTTGACGGTGCTCATGATGAACACATCTATTCGTTGGGTGTTTGATTGATCAATACTATCGGGAGTATGTGGACAGATGGCATATTCGTTAAAGAAACAGCAACAACCTGGACCGAGTGACGCTTTTTTTATTTTATGAGGAAACCCAGACTGGCTTTATTAAACGCAGATCAATTAGTTACCAGTGACACAAATGTATAGGATATACTGTTTGCAGTAGATATTCAAAGGACTCTAGAATCGGACTATAGGTTTGATTGCTTCAAACAATTTATTTCATTCCCGCTAAATTGAATAATATTCTTCTACATCGGTTTGTTGCCTCAATCTCTCTCTCAGGCAAAAAGAGCTTCTTTCCTCGTTTAATTATTGTCTAATATTTAAATCCTTTGTGTTAATCTAAATGGCACTGATTTAAATGATTGTAATGGGTTTGAAGTGAAGAACACTGCATATGTGACTGATGTTACTTGTTTTCGCCGGATGTACATTCTGCTGAAAACCTACCAGCTCTCCTAGCTGGTTTGATAATAATATTTGAAAAAAAAACGTGAAGTTATATGGTAGTGTCGGGAATGATTTTTTTGAGAAAAGCCCTTCGGGGTATTAAGGCCTATGTCACCAATCACAATTGTTAGGACATTCCTTTCATATAATGCAACTGCAGCGTATAATGTGAATATTCGACGCGCCTATCCCGATTCTGTTTAATATTATCAAATTAATTAATGTCGATCAACGTGATGTCAAGTGCATCAACACAAAAATATATGCCTTTTGGGAAATTGGCCTGATATAATTATACGAGATACGATGAAATAAGTGACAGAGGACAAGGTGAACTTAAAATACTAGACACCTGTGCTTTGCAAAGCATTCAAGTTGAGATGGGTCAAACAATATTTATCTTCTCATTCATATCCATGGGAACCAATTATAGCCCACTATATGAGATAGGTAGGTTGATGGCACTCTACTCGGTCTCCGTATACCGATCACTTTATACCGTGAAATGGTGTATATACTTGGTCTGCTATATAAATCAAAACAATTATAAGTTTATATCCCCGGAATATGAACCGATATCGAATATTCTTGTTAACAGTAATTGTTTACCCCATTTCTACAAGCTTAGTATTTTGTATATTTCTGATATTTTAAATTCCAAAGGTAAAATTAATGGTTGGGAAGAATTTATGACTAGTCTGAACTTTAACGACCTGATAATTATACAAGGTATAATGTCGGAAAATCCACCAAGTTGGAAAAAGGCACAGCAATCTACGCCAGACTTGAATTACCGGTCTGTATTTGTTGATAATTTTGTCATCCTCCGCCCAAAAATAAATCGGTAATGTTATCTCTGAGCGATTTTTTGCCAGCCAGTTTTAGATGAAAATAAATCAGAAGGGAACTTTCTATATACGATGTCATTTTCAGTGAATATATGAACTACGTGAATTCCAGTGGAAGTTAACCAACAATAGTCTTTATACAAACTAGTACACTTATTCTCGGAGTGTGTAGTGGTACAAGTTCTTTGGACGGCCATCTCAAACATTTGGGGAACTCATTCAAGGTACCCAAATAGAATACCAGCACA